GGCAATTGCCCATTTCATTTGGGGATTTGCCCATTGTAATTTTTATTAGTAAGTTTTTGCCCATTGAAATTTTACTTAGCAGATATACCCAGGCGGTTTCTTTTTGAATAACCCTTAGAAAGATATTCGTAAGAGTGCCTATAGATAGAATTGTTTGTTTATTTTTGAATTAGAATCTAATTCAAAAATTAAAAGAATCTCATTTCATTTTTTTGTTCTTTTTGAACCAAAAATCTTTTGGCCCATCGACAAAAACCGTGCCCATTTTGCCCATCGTTTTTTTCCGCTACAATAGAAGTTTGCCCATTGTACTAAAAATCCTGGTTACGCCGCTGCAAGTATACAGAAACCCCAAACTATACTGAATTAAACCTTAAGGGTTACCCCCCCCCCCCTCCTCTTTGCTGCCAAATGCGGAGCACACGTCCAATCGAGTTCAAATTTATACCGAAAAAGAAAATCGATGTATTTTTGCTCAGAATTTTGTGACATGATCTGCTATAGGTTTTCTGGAAAACTCCAGTTTTCATCCAGTCACATTATGACCCCTCGAAAAAATGGTCCGATCGAGCCGAATTTTTACCACAGATACTTTAGACCGTATCTCAGAATGAAAATTATTTTTTTCGAAAAATATGCTTTCCTCCTCGAGATATACGAAAAATGCTGAAAACCACACAAAGAACTGAAATGATCATCTAGCAATGGTTACATCAAAACTCTGTCTTTGTCATAAAGTGGGAGTGCCACAAGTCATTACAAACAATAATATAAAACAATAGAAGAATGTTTCATGATTAAATGAGCGATGTCCCTAAAACAATCTTTTGACAAATGAATATGTCAGATTTCACAAGTTACTTTCAAAAGGGTTCTCCTATTGGACCATTTTCTTTCGTATAGTAAATAGAACCCCCAAATGAGTCATGATAAACAAGAGCAAGTGGTCGTTCAAAATCGTCAACAGTTGATGTTACTAAACTTTCATAAAACAATACAGTATTACCTTTTCACCATAAATAGATTTGTTTTTAGTAGGCTACACTGTTTTTAATGATGATGGGACAAACGAGAACAAAGTGTGTTCTCAGCTACTGCTCACACTGCTCTTTGAGGTAAGATAAATTTGTAAGATGTCTTCGGAGTATATGAAGTATTGTGTGAGCAGCTAAGAATCCAAATACGAATAAAGAAAGCAATTGTGATTAGAAAAAAAATAACCCTGAAATCTATTTCTCTTTCTTCCGTGTTTGCAATGCGAAGTGATTTATCTAGAGGAGGAACATTGCTCCTCCGGATTTCAGGAACTTACTTATTAGTTAAGACATGTGTAAGTCAGTAGCCCCTCCATACCTTTGATTCGCCCCTTCGGAAATAAAAACCTAGATAAGTCACTGGTTTGCATTAGCTTGCTTAATACCATAGTGTCCTTTTGCTTTATTAAGATAATTTGTTTGTTTTTAAGGTATTACCGTTCTTTACCATTAAACATTCTTCTATTTATCATGAACACCATATTGTTGTTATTGGTACAGTATTCGATGAAATCGTATTGAAAATAATTCCATCGAAATGTAAAATACAGCCGTTGTCGTCGTTGTACATTCGTAATTTATAATTAGTTCCCTCATAGCCCTTCTTCCACCAAACGCTGATTGTTACAGTCAAATGATGCGTAAGGATATATCATCACAGTCAGTGAATAATTCATTACCCTATTTAAATTGTTATAGACAATACAATTTGTTTGTTCATCAGATCAATAGACAGTTGAGACATCAACTATCATGTTAGCAACTCATTCATTTTATGATGTGAAGAAGCACAATTTATTGAATTACTACCTAATTTGGGACGAAATTATATGATTCTGTCCAAAGTTCACAATAATTTGAACATTATTGTATGATGGCATGTGGTAGACAAGATGAGAATGCAAAATATTATACTGAACTGCTCTATGACGATAAAAACAAAATCAATTATTATTCTTCATAGAACGTTAATAATCGATTGTATACTTATGATATGATCATATTTAAGTTAGTATCACGTAAAAAATTTGATATGAAACGTGTATGTGTCAGAGATCGAATCGGATCACAAGTGTCTGACCCGAAGTGCTAAAAACGTTTTTAGAGTACTACCCAAACGATCCAAAAAATTTTCCTCGGTGACCCAATAATAATCCGAAACTGAGAACCGTTTTTCTGGAAGATATGTTGGTGAAGTTTAATCGGGAAGGACAAAATTCACTGAACGTCTGTTTTGATAACCACAGACATGCGCGCAAAACTACGTGAATCAAATACAACCAACGAAAATTTCTTCTTTTGTTTCCTAGTGATATGACCCCAATAAAACTCGAAATTTCTTTTTTCTCTGGTTGACCCGACCCGAATTAATATTTTTTTGCGTCGATCCGAAGAGACGTGATCCTCAATCGACCCTATGATATAAGCTATATTTTCAACTGAAAACATAGCTTATATATACCGAAAGAAGGAAGGATATCTTGCCTTACGGCTGTCATCATTGATATAGACTATTGACAAATGTCAGTTTCAATCGCCGATAGTGTTCCTACAGATGACAACCTGTAACTCTAGGTCTATTGAGGAGGCTAGTCTCCAGGACGCAGAGTTCTTGCGCCCAATTGCTTGAGCTCTGCCCCATACACTCTCACTAACCACTTAATAACTTTTCGAAAAGCCATGCAGATTAATCAAAGAAACTATATTGTACATCACAATACAATGAGTGTGCTATCAGACGGATAATCCGAAGCATCAAGACGTACGGAACTGATCCAAGATTATTACATAATTTATCGGCACTAAGGGTCGAACACAGTATCTTTGATTATCGTGACGAACAACACAGCCAGTATGCCATGCCATCAGTTTATTAACAAGCTATTAGAATACATAATTAGATGCTAAGTGAATGAGAAAATCTATATTTGATTATGAAATATGGATTGGTGACATTTGTAGTTCAAATTCAAATTTTATATTTACCATCGATGATAAAAACAATATTGTACTATTGCCTATTTACAATATTGTATTGTTTAATATCTAGAATTTGGACAAGAACATCAGTAATTAATCGATTCTTAATTTCAAATATAAGAGTCATGTGTAGATAAGATCTATTCTTATCTGTACCATTGAAATAGTAACGTTGGTCGCCTATCATTCAGTATGCATGAAACTTCAAAAGTGAAGATGAACTAAGTACTGGAAACGAACTAAACATCAAACGATAAAATACAGATTTTCATGTATCGGTGAAATGGAAGATTTTGAAATATTTATGATAAGATGGTTTTTCTTCCACTCAGTCGATATGTTAAAGATTTTAAAGTCAATAGCCTATAAGTAGACATCTGCGAAAAAATTGTCCACTTCGGCGGCGGCAACGCATCAACTGATAGTCGGCGATCGCAAGAACTTTAGAAAATTTGTTGTCGACGACCCGCTTGGATAATTCGACGAAAAGTAAGAAGGAAAAGGTTACATAATCCATTTTTATCTTTAAAGAATGGTTGCAACAAAGATGATCGTGGAAAAGGAAATTTTCTTATTTCTTCTGCATAAAAGATCTCGTTCTAACAGTTCCGTCAGAAGGACTAATAATGTTTAAACGACAGTCAATGAACGTCCAAAATAATAACCTTTTTAGACAAAACTTTAATTTTTGACAGTTGAAGCAGTTCTTTTACATTTTCCAATCGATTACGCGAATTTTTCGGGACCTCTTCCCATTCATCATCCATAGTTTTAGTGTAATGCATTATATTGTAGAAGAAGAAGATTCCATGATTCATAGACATTCTAGAGGTTTGTTGAGAATGTTATTTTCGAAAACTAAAAAATGTACCACTATCAGTGTTGTTAAACTCGATCCGATGGCAATCCAGATTGTCTCCATTTTTAGATCTGTATTATTCTGAAATAACCATTTCTCAAAGTGAATAAGTATTAACTAAAAATTTCAATAGCTATATATGTTATTAAGATATGTTTACTAATTAAATTACTGTTATCTTGAACTATAGCAAATAGATATGTCGAAATAATGAATTATATATTTACATTATATTATATACTAAAATTGTACATTTCACGATTTTTTTATTCAGTTAGTGTCAGAAGAATAGATCTCAGATTGATAATGACGGGGGCTGTAGATTGAGAGCATGTTAAAAAAGTTAGATCAGGACAAAAATAGCTGAAGGATGCTTTTGATTTAATTGAAAATTTTCTCTGTAAACTCACTTTATTCGATGAAATAACTTTCGATTAGTGTTCAGTGGAATACAGGTATACTTAAGGTCTCCTTATAGCTAAGCAAACGTAGTCGGTGATCAGAATCTAGTTTAACCAAGCAGATTGTAAGGAATCTATTAGATATTGTTTGCTTCGCTATTGCGACTAATTGATTATAAGCGAACATTGTCATATTCCTTATATGTGATAGGTTTTATTCTTAATCAAAATTTTGTTTTGCATTTAGAACTTGTACAGTAGTTTCAATAGAAATGGCAAATCACAGAAAAAAAAGACGAGTGGAAGCATAACATCAAACATGTTTAATTTTTGAACTTTTTTGTAGTATTGAACGTTATACTTATTTTATTTTTGCTTATTATAATAATTAAATTATGTTATATTTACTAATTGTCCCACTAATTGTATTTTACTAATTATCTCGCTTCTGTTTCAGATGGCTGTTTCGGTAAATAATAATTTCGAAGTGAATATTCATCCCGTAGCATTATTCAATATTGTTCATGCGTATGAACGTCGAAGTGAAAAATTCGATACAATTTTAGGAACATTATTAGGTAAGAACGGTATATATACTTTTTTCGATTGATTATATACTCTCTGTCATTTCTATTTATTCAGGAACAAGAACATCTGATTCCATTGAAGTAACCGATAGTTTTGTTGTACCACATTTAACACATGGCGAAGTGAGTTCCTGTCTAACATTGTTAATTAATTGATTGATGCTTTTTTTTTTTATATTAAAGGCCTTATACAATGTTGATTATGCGTCGTCAATGGCAAGCTTTTATCGTAAAGTGAATTCGAGTCAAACAACTGTTGGATGGTAAGTATCTTAAACATAACAGACTTATAATGAGACGTTTTTAGTGACAATAAAAAGAAAATGTTATCTTGTATCATTGAGGTATTCAACTGGTTCAGATATGATGGCTGGAGCGAATCTTATTCATGAATTTTATACGCATGAAACAAGAAATCCTGTCTACATTGTTGTTGATACAGGATTGAAGAATGATGCACGATTTCAAATTAAAGCATATATTGGGTATATATTAATATATATTGTGAACAAAGAACAAGTACAGATTTGTACTGTTTTGTTTATTTCATTATAGGTCTTTGTTTGGCGTGAAAGAAGCTGGAAAAGAGAAAATGAAAAATCATGGAACACTTTTTACACCTATTCCCGTTCATATCGTTACATATGACGAAGAAAAAGCAGCTGGTAAAGATACAATAGAAAAAATGAATCTATTGTATCATATAGATTGTTTGTTTCACATTTTTCAGTTGATCTATTTCAAAGTGGTAAATTTAATCAAAAATTTCGTGTTAAACCGCCTGGTGAATTAGAACAAGTACAACATTCACTTGAAAAACTTTTATTTATGCTGAAACAAATAACAACATATGTTGATGATGTTTTGGTATGTAATAAATAATAAACTTTGAGAAGATTAATATTATTCTCTTATATTAGAGTGGTAAGAAACCTTCAGATGCACAAATTGGCCGTATGTTGATGAATTTAATTAATACGGTACCGAAAGTAGATTCAAAGGATCTTGAAAATATGATTAATACCAGCATGAATGTAAGTATAATGATTCTTCTCTATTTTATTCGAGTGAATAATTTTATACGTGACTATCCAACATGATATTTATGATCTTCTAATAAAAAATGTGACATTTCCATCACCAAAAAAAAAAGATGATAATGTGGCAACGTATACTGCTTTTTATTGTATCATCAATATGATAAATTTAAACAATTTGCAACTAGCTGATTTATTTCGCTGTTACACATTATATATGAAATATGTGATTTCTACTGTCAAAGAGCGTGCATACTAAATAAACACAATAGCGCGCTAATAAATTTCTTTCTATTTTGTTTTTTTTAGGATCTGTTGATGATTCAGTATTTATCGAAAGGTGTTAAAGCACAATTAATGTTAAATGAAAAATTGACATCATCAACTCCTTAAACGTGTATTAGATTAAGTTCAATATGATAATAGTATGATCCTTTATATTTTCTTTCGTTCTTGTTGTTATTGTTATTATTATCCTTCATTTGGACTACTTCAGTATCTTTCGATTTTCTGTTATATTGAACGTATAAAAATAAAAACCAGATTATCGACATATACAATATTTTTTATCAAAGATCTATTCCAGTTACAGCTACACAAGGAACGTCATATTTTTAAGATTTTTAAAATCATATCTTTTTATCAATGTGTCATCATATCAACTTTGAGTATTTTGAATAGTAACCGATACGTCCTCTTTCGGTGGTCATATATCAGTTTTTTTTAAAGTAGCTATCATTTCAGATATTATAATACTAACAATGACCGATAATTGTCCAACTTTCCGATATAATTGTACTCATGAAAAAAAATCATATCGTCATATTTTTTACATGTAAACTTCCATGAGAAAAGCGATATTCATAAAAGAAAATGTAAAATATACCACTCGTTTTATGTGCAGTCACTCAAATGATTCTTCTCTAGGTTCAAAATTACAGGTGACAATAATCTGAACTCAAACTATTTTAAGATTTTTATAATCTCCCCTGGAGTGTGGTGTAATAATGTTCTTGTTTGTCTCATTCATAGAGACTACATGATATAAAAAAAGAAAAATCTTTTTAAAAAGAATCTATAGAATAATTTCTTTCAATTTATTTGTGTCAATTATAATAAAAAAAAAAAAAAAAATCTTTTCTCTTCGTTAAGTCCAGTTAGAAAAAATTCTAATTAATTTACATATGCCTATGAGATACAATTAAATCGATCGTAATGTCAACGAGCACGATATCTAGACAAATATTTTATTCAATTTCATAGATGTTTTACGCTTGATTTAATCATTTAGGAGAAAACGACAAAAAGAATCTCCTTGTCTTTCTCTGGGACATTGTAGACTTAATAATTGTTAAGTTATCATTTTTCTAGGAAAACAATACTATTATATATAATAATATACTTTAATGTTGATTTAAAAATAAAACAGTCTGGCATATTGTAAGCTATCAACAACTATATTTTTCTCGAACATCAATGGTTGTTTACTTTATCATATCTATTATATATATATCACAATTAAAACAACGTTTGAATTGATTCTCTTATGCAGTCTTTGAATTTTTTTTTCTTAGAAATATCTGTATAATTTTTTTTCTCTTCTTCTGTCTGGTATTTAATGTTCACAGATAATAAAGTAGATATACATTTCAAAGAGAATATTTTATCATTTCATTATGCTCAATTATTACCTATAATGGAGATTAATAGAACATAATAAAAGAGAGGTAAAGAAAAAAAGAAAAACGTATTTTTTTAATTCATGCTATTCATCAATTTTTTTTTTTTTTCTCCAGGGTCATAAAAGTATTTTATCTAATTACACGAAAGATTAAATTAATAAAACCAGATCAAGGTACTCGTATACCAAAAATAATACAATTCTATTGCCAATTTCACTTGAAATGTGAACTAATTATATGTAACCGTACTATATCTTCTATAAAAGTTTATGTACACTACTTTAGATAAAGACATTCGTTTTTAAATCTTCTATTTTTTTTAATATAGATCAACATTGTCTTCATCGCAGTTTGTATTATCTGTTTTTATGATATTTCAGAATAAAAAAACAATCTTTTCTTACTCAGAGTTAAGAAAAACTATAGAATAGTATGAAGAATTCGAGTATAGTAGAAATAAATTAAACAGACATTTATTACATTTAAAATTTATAAATAATGAGAAAATTTAGTAGAAAATAAATATATTTTAGAAGTATTAAGATTTCGATAGATTGTTAACATTTTTTTCTGCATGAAACTCCCATATTCTGAGAGAACATACACGATTATACGTTCCGTGAAATAATTTGAAGCGGCTAAAAATCGTTAGAATACGTTAATGCATTTAAACAGAATAAATTTTCAAATTTAACGCGGTTGAACGTGATTTCGAAAAAGAAACGATGAAAGTTGTTTTCTTACTTGTTTAACTTCTAAATTTAACACATTAGAGAAATAGATTAAACCGTTAAACGTTTCATATTTCACGATCGTTAGCTGCTTCGAATTATTTCATGAGTTGGAAAAGGAGTTTTGGTATTATTTAAAGGTATCTATACAGAGATTCATGGACAAACTTCTAGCATTTTATTATATTTATAAAACTAGCTCGTCAACGATGAATTTTTAAATGAAACCAAGAACAGTTTAATTTATTTCTACTATACTTTACGTAGAACTAAATAATCTTGAAGGCTAATGATTTGTACTGGAATAGACGTAGAAGGCCTGTTACTCTACTTAAGCATCAAACAGAGAGGGTACTTGGAAAGAATTTTTAAAAAATTCTAAACAACGATTAAATCTACCGACTTATATTTAAGTCTCTTTTATATACTTTATCGACAGGAAAGGATGTATGTAAAGTCTTTAATATTTTGTCTGATGAATTTGATATAATAGTGTCTGATAGTACACGTCAATCCACCTTGAACGATGTTATTTTCAGTTCACGAACTTCTATAGTTGCGGATTCAATCATAAAGTTTGATATAATTATCATTATATACTATATGCTGTGTAATAATAATTAGTCAACTTCGAGAGATATATACACTAATAGATATCACGTGAATATTAGTTATGACACGGTGAAGATGTGTTAAGGTTAATCGAAATACACGTGTTTTGTGGAATTTATCAAGCCAGAATTAGAATAGACGTGGAAAAAATAACTTCAGACATGTCATTTATCGTTATGTTCACTTAATAGAAACCACGGTGGATTTAATTATAGGGCATTAGAGTCATTCATAAATTAGAATTCGCCTGTGGAAATGCGCGTGTTATTAATCATGACTAAAGGTAATTAGTCGTAATTAAAGACTATTTTATGAAAAACTGCAATTTTTTGTAAAAGATTCTCTATCCTCATCAAAATAAATGTAAAACTTTTTTCTTTTGTTGATCTAACCGAATCGAAACGATGAAATTGTGTAAATCTTTTTGAGCGACTGAAAAATTGCGTGTTTTAACATGTTTATACCTTAGGCTCGCGCATTAAATTTACTTTAAACTTTTACCAGTAGTAAATGGAAAGAATGATAAACATCGCTGATATCCAAAATTTCATTGTCTGGCATCTTTGTTTACAGAAAAAAGTCGCTAACAGAGAATACTTTGACGAAATATACATACTTAACATACATGGAAGAAAAAGAAGATTATGTTTGAAAACTTGCAGATTAAGGTTAATGTTAATGAAAGAGCGACTATATTTTACAAAAATTTCGTGTAAATTCCACGATATTATTAAGTACATTTAGACGTTTGTATTATGCAATAACTCTTAATGTCCTTCATTCTTATTTAATTAAATTATGTAAAATATTTTCTCAGTTAAGTGATAAGATGTCGGTGAAGAAAAAAAAATCAAGACTTATTGCCAAATAATTTTTAAAATAGAACTAGGTGCGCATTACTTTGTGGAAAAGAAAAAGAATTGTTTCACATAGATTTTAGAAAAATTAACTTCACTCTTTTCCTGTTGAGTTTGTCAGTTAAAATTATTTCTAAGCACGCTTTTTTTTCTATTTCTCTAAATATACACGAGTGTAACATCTAAAAATAGCCCCGTTTATTATTAATAAAATCTTTTGTTTACTTCATATGTTTTATTCTTAGTCTAATTATTTTTTCATGACTATATATATTATGTTACCATACAAAGAGAACGACAAACGTACTGAGCTTAGTGAAATTAGTGAGTAGTAGAAAAAAAAAGTTTTTTGCTTCTTTTATTTTAATGATCCGATGCCTCATATATCAAGAGAAACAAACTTTTTATTATCAAAACACTAACCTTGACAAATAAAAGTTGGAATAGGATTACAGGAGTTTCTCTTACAGGTATTCTTAACTTCTATTTTGGAAATAAATTATGCATCAAGAGCACAATCTATTTCGATTGAGAGTACTTAAGGGTACTTTTCCCCTCATTTTGGGCTATTCGTAGAAATGCTGTGGAATAAAAAGTGAAACTCCCTAAGGCTTCATATTTTCAGAACTGATTGGAAACTCAATGGAGCACTTTATTTCAAGTTTCTAACTATTGCCGTTCACCAGTTTTCCAGGCAACTCGGCTTTTCATTGGACCACATTACGATCCCCCTTAAATTTCATCCGATTGAGTTGAAAAATTTATCAGGGATACTCAAGGTCAGAGGTATAATTTTGGAATTTTCTTTTAGCCCTTTCTTTACCGAGTTATAGGGTTTCTAAAATTTAAAAACTTGGTTTTGGGAAGTTTTTCGATATTTTTCCTATAACTCGGTAAAGAAAGGGCTAAAAGAAAATTCCAAAATTATACCTCTACGCTATGACCTTGAGTATCCCTGATAAATTTTTTAACTCGATCGGATGAAATTTAAGGAGGATCGTAATGTGGTCCAGTGAAAACCCGAGTTGTCTGGAAAACTGATGAACGGCAATAGTTAGAAACTTGAAATAAAGTGCTCCATTGAGTTTCCAATCAGTTCTGAAAATATGAAGCCTTAGGGAGTTTCACTTTTTATTCCACAGTATTTCTACGGAAAGCCCAAAATGAGGAGAGGGGTAACCTTAAACCATGGTTAGATTTTTCACTGAAATCTTCATAATATAGTTAGCACTAGCATATCTAGGAATATGCTTTTTCAAAGATTGCCTAAGGGCATGCCCTCAGTAAAAGTGATAATAATTTTTTTAAGGATTAAAAGATGGTGCGAAAATACTCGTGCTTAAAGTAGGTGTTGGAACTGCTATAACAGAAAACGATGAGAAACGGTGTCTGCAAGAAAATGGCTCTATATAATTTTGAGAAGATCATGCATGAAACTGATTGAAAATAGTTCATTATTTAATATTTAATATCTCTACACTTCAAAAGTTGCTTGTGCATATTACCTGTGA